ATAAATAGTGATGTCCATTGCTGTTTTCTTTCAGTTGAAGCTGCACGGTGGCGTAGTGCAGATGGTTTGGCTGTGTATGTATTTGTATGAAATAATGACATGAAGTCTGCTGGCATAGCTGATATCCGTTTGACTTTCTCTTTAACTCGCGCCCCCTCACTATCTCTTTTTTCACCCTAATCTGGTTTACTCAGTATCCCACTTGTATTCAGCGATATTTTTAACAGAGCTTATCATCATTTAACAACCGGGCTACACAACTACGCCCCGTTTTTCTGATCTCGTGTGGAGACGAAGACGCCCACCCATGGTACTCACTTGCCAGCCGGCAGCACAGACACAGTAGAAGGCGTTATACGCATCATAGCAGGTGCCGCCATTCTTACAAGGAGTCGACAGACACTCATCCTTGGCGAGGTTAGTTTCGAGAGATGTCAGGGTGTTCGCAATAACCTGAACACGCTGCAGGTCCCGGCGCAGCACACGCTGCGTAGGTCCGGCGCGACGTGTTCCATTCTGCATATTACTTAACCATCTGGCCAAACGCAGCAGATCCCGTTGCACGCTGCGAAACTGTTCCTTTAGCGCGTCCAGGGACAAAGGTTCCCGTCGAGTCGCTGCTGACTGCGCCGCTGCTGCACGCTGGCGTCCCTGCAGCAAAGATACGACGTCCACGTCGTTTAGGAGCAGTGTGGCTGCCTCGCCCATGAGGCGGAATGTTATGTTCTGGTCTGTAGCCGCTTCAAACAGCAAGGTACCATCTTCGCTGCCATGCAGCTGGGGCTGGACGCGAGCTCCAGTTGCCTTTATCCGTGGCAGCTGTGGGCAGAGCGCCAAAAGACACAGATAGAGCGAAGTCACAAGGTAAGATTTATCAATAAGCATTTTCACACATTTTAAAACTACAACTTGAATTTGGAATTCTTTTTCTTCACTTCTTGGGCTATGTTTAAGCGTGGACAATGGCACAAGAACTGAAGCCAGCGGCGCTGTTTGCCTACATTTTATATGCAGTTGAGGGGGCGTATACAACGATTACTCATTAAATTTTTTTTTTTAAATGTAAATAGTATATTGATTCTCTGCAAAGGCAAGCATCTCCGGCCCCATAAGTGTATGATCAGTTTCAACAGCCGAGTCCGGGAACGTGTCTCTGATCCAAGATTAATTATAAAATAAATTGATTGTTTTGGGCGGCAGCTCAACGCTGGTTACAGGACATCTGCTTGTCGGACATTCTCGACTAGCATACTCTTACTTGCTTCTTATCAAAATGTATTTATACGAAACATGTGGAACTCTCATTGGCGTATTTTGGAAATATTTATGTACAAATTATTTATGGTGATTAAATCATGTTTTCTATCACTTGAATAAAATAACAAGAACAAATAGGAAATTTTGATTTCGTTCTGGTTTTTTCCAAACATTTATTTAACCATTAAAAAGTCTTAATCGAGCGTCTTTTTGGAGCTAATGGCCAAGTGTAAGTGTGTTCGCTTTTGTTTGTTGCTAAATTTAGCCGAGATGTGAGCGGTTTTATGGTGTAATGGTTAGCACTCTGGACTTTGAATCCAGCGATCCGAGTTCAAATCTCGGTAAAACCTGTTATTAATATTTCGTTTTTCGATTAACATTTTATTTTTATTCTTTTTTAAGTTTATTTTAAAAATATTTGTTGACCATTTGTAAAGTGAAAAACCCATAAACACATGCATTTAATTATTAAAATTGCTCTAAATGCGGCTTAATTTTTTTCTTCAACACCTTGTCAGTTAAGAGTGGAGGCAATCAAGATATAGTATTTTGATTTATAATTTCATCCCAGCTCGTGTCTATCAAATATACTTATTTGCACATGCATCAAATACCCTTCATCTTCATCCCAATTCACTTTATACAATTTTATTATGTTTATTAATTATTGAAAGCTTTATACAAATATGCACATAAATAAATCTATAAATATTTTGTAGAGGAACAGCCTACATTATAAATCTGTGTTATCAGCTGCATTTATTGTTGATTCCAACAAATCCAATCAAGTTATCAAGTTCAAATCAAATGGTCAAATAATTTTACATGCATAATGAACATACTATATATATATATATATATATATATATATATATATCTATATTTAAATTTACATAAGTTGATACATAGAAAACTCTAATTGGCATTGACCTTGTGAGTAATTTCATTTAAAGATCCGAAATTAAGAATATTTGTATGTTTCAAATAATTTGGAACGTGATTCAATCAATGGTAATGACCCTTATACACTGAACACAATATTTGTTTACTTTCTGTTTTTAATCATATTTAATTCTATGATAAAAGAAGGTAAATCTTTTATAAGCCCTTATATACATATGTACATATTCGTTGTATGTATGTACACGTAACGAAACAAGTATGAAGTTTGTTTAAAAAATAAATTGAATAGAGAAAGTTTATTATGGACAAAGTTGTTGTTCAACTGAGGTGCACTTTTACAAAATGAACGCGCCTTATACTTACTTATAATTTATTCTCAGTGTAGCATCCGAGAATATATATACACAAAAAGAATAACAAATTTAACCGCCTGCAATGGCTGCTATGACAACGAAAACGAAAGCAAATTCAATTAGTTTAGCAACAAACAGTTATGTACATAGTTATGAGTACTATATTTGGGGCCTATGTATTTATAAATCGGAAAAACGACTTGTTGTTGTTGTTGCTGTTGTTGCTGTTGCCTTTGGGGGCCTGTTGCTGTCGTAGTCGTTGCTCTGTGCTCAGTTCGATGCGAGGCGTTGAGTGGAAACGTGGATTCGCATAGCTAACATATTAAGTATACGCCGCGTGATGCCAGTTTTTTCGAAAATATTGTCGCTGACCGGCTGCGGTAAGTCTCGCTGGCAATTGCGCCTGTCTCTTCTATATTTTATGGGTATACTGATATATATATATTTTGCCATTATGCAATCGTCTTATGCGCGCAGCTGGGAAGCAGCAGCTGCGTCCGTACAGCGCAGCAGCGCAATCCCAGCTGCGTGAGCTGCTTGGCCAACAGCTGAGCGGCATCCAGGAGGCGGGCACATTCAAGGCGGAGCGCATCATCACCTCATCGCAGAGCACACAGATTACGGTGCAGGGCAGCGATCAGAAGATACTCAACTTTTGTGCCAACAATTATCTGGGGCTGGCGGTAAGTGTGTGTGTTCCTGACGATCGGTTGACTCTCTTAATGGGCATTTTCAACGTTTAGAACAATCCGGAGATTGTGCAGTACAGTCAGCAGCTGCTGGCCAAATATGGCGCAGGCTTGAGCTCGGTGCGATTCATTTGCGGCACTCAGGACATACACAAGCAGCTGGAGCGGAAGATAGCGCAGTTCCATGGACGCGAGGATACCATATTGTATGCTTCCTGCTTTGATGCCAATGCGGGCATCTTTGAGGCCATACTCACACCAGAGGATGCCGTCTTCTCGGATGAGCTGAATCACGCGTCCATCATTGATGGCATACGGCTGTGCAGGGCCAAGAAGCAGCGCTACAAGCATCGCAATCTGGCTGATCTGGAGCAGCAATTGCGCTCGACCGATGCCCGCCTCAAGCTGATTGCCACCGATGGCGTCTTCTCCATGGATGGCAATATAGCGCCGCTGGCACGCATTGTTGAGCTGGCCAAGAAATATGACGCACTGGTCTTTGTGGATGAGTGCCATGCGACTGGCTTCTTTGGAGCCACTGGACGCGGCACTGAGGAGTACGACAATGTCATGGGCGAGGTGGATATTATCAACTCAACGCTGGGCAAGGCTCTGGGCGGCGCCTCCGGCGGCTACACCACTGGACCGGCAGAGCTAATCTCATTTCTGCGCCAGAAATCGCGGCCATATCTCTTCTCCAACACACTGCCGCCGGCGGTGGTGGCCGTGGGCTTGAAGGTCATGGACATGCTGCTCAGCTCCAGCGAATTGACTCAGCGCGTCCAGAGCAACACCCAACGCTTCCGCGAGGCAATGACCAAGGCCGGCTTCACCATTGCCGGCGAGAATCATCCCATCTGCCCGGTCATGTTGGGTGATGCGCGTCTCGCCTCCACCTTCGCCGATGAGATGCTTAGTGAGTATGATGTTCAATTGGCCCTAACGCCCTTTTTGTTTAACATTAAATTTTGATTTAATTCCTGCAGCACGCGGCATTTATGTCATAGGCTTCAGCTATCCGGTGGTGCCACAGGGCAAGGCACGCATCCGCGTCCAAATCTCAGCGGCTCACACCGAGGCGGAAATTGATCGCGCTATTCAGGCATTTATTGAGGTCGGTCGCTCCCTGAAGGTCATCAAATAACGCTGCAACCAGATGATATTGGATGTCAAGTATTTTTGTGCTGCATTTATAATTAATCCAGGAATTTTGATGCCATTTACCAAACGAAGCTCAGCTAAATATATAGAAACTATATTTTATTGATATATTGTGGATTATTCGCCTGGATATAGGCATTGTTAATTTCAAGAGATTTAATGTTGCCCACAGTAATAGCTGATGAGCTTCTCTGTCTTCTATTCCCTATCTCTCACTGCCGGACATTTTATATGCTCTTTCTCCTATTTGTTCAATCTGTCCGACCTGCTCTTTGTTACTCTTTTCCTTTTACGCTTAATATCGCCCTTCTATGCGATTGTCAAAATGTCAAGATTTACTTAGGACATTTATTTTAGGTTTTATACAACCGTGCTCTTTTAAAAGTGCATAAAATATTCGAAAACAATTGTTTTGCGTTGCTTTATTTGGTTCGTCTGATTAACTAAGCTGCTTTTACTATGTATAGTAAGTATAATAATAATAAACAATTCGAATTACACATTTAACTTAAGATTAAATTGCACATTAAATCAATGACTGTTCACAGCAGGGCGAAATGCAGGCGCTGCCCGACTGGTTACATAAAAGCAATAACAAATTAAATACGAGTTACTAAACAATAATTACAAATAATAATTAAACAATACGAAAATGAAAAATACTTTTATAAAGCGAGAATTGTGCGAAGATTGGGCTAAATAGTTTGCATAGATGCGCAACTGGAACAAGGATTCGATTTTTAACTGTGACTATGAGAGCTTTGGTTAGTTTATGCATGTCTGTGTGTATTTGTGTTTGACTGAGATGAGTTGGATTGGGTTAGTCCTTCGTTGACTACTTGTTGACCAGTCCGCGCGCCTTGGGATAAGCTGACGCTGGCTTCTTGGGCGGCACACGGCCCGTGGGCGGCCGTCGGTTCGAGTCGAGAGCTGAGCCCGGACTGGGCAGACCGCTGCGTGTGGACTTGACGGTACGCACGTTGGACGCGGCGCCCACACTGCTGGGCGTGTCATCGGTTGAAGCCGCGCCGCTACTGGCATTGCCATTGATGATGTTCTCGAGACGGGAACGCAGCGACTTTGTATGGGTGTCCACAATATCGATGTCATCGCCGGTTTGCATGGCCTGAGCGAGCACCGCTTGCAAGGAGGCGGACACCTTGGGCGTTTTGTACTCTTGTGTAGTGCGGCAGGGCATATCCAGCTCGTAGCTGACAATGTTCTCGCTTTTAAAGCGCAGGGCACTGGGTGCACTCGATTTGGCCTCCTGCAGTGCATACTCGGATATGGGCCGTCGGCGTAGGGGATGCGAGACGGGACGCTTGCTGCTAAATTTTCCATCGCCGGCACTTATGGGCAGCGGCAATGAGGCAAACTTCCATTCCTCTTGCTCCTCGTCGTACTTGGCCTGCGTGTAGAGCCGCTGCTTGACCTCGATTGGCACAAAGTTGTCAATGATGAGCAGCTGGCGTTTCAGCTCCTTGACCAGTTCGTTCTGTGCCATCTCCAGTTCGCGCAGATCCTGATTATGATCGTGTTTGCAGTCGTTGAGCTCCTGCTGTAGCGCTAAATACTTGGCATAGCATTTGGAAAGTTTGCGTTTCTTTAACTCGACCTCCTGCTCCAGCGATACGTTGCGTTCCCGGATCTCCAGTGTTGTTTCCTCCTGCAATTCCAGCTGCTGTTGAATTTCAATTTCACGCTTCTTTCGCTCTGCTATCTCCACCAGCTTTTTCTCCAGCTCAATTTGACGTTCGCTGTACGTGTCCAGCAGATTCTTGCCGCCGCGCACCAGCTGACCCTCCAGCTCAGCCAGTTTGGCGGCCAGCTTTGCGTTCTCTACACGCTCTCGCTCCAATTGCTCACTGGACTTGGCGACTTCCGCCTCGTTTTCCTTATCCGACTCTGGCTCCGATACATCTGCCTCGCTCTCCGCCTCGTCCTCAGCCGCTTGCAGCTGCTCCTGCGTTACGCTGTCCGTTAGCTCGCGCTGTGCCGGCTCTCGTTTGGGCTTCTTGACGCGCTTCTTAGCTGCCGCAGCCAGTTTCTCGGTGCGCTGTTGCTGCTGCGGCGCAATGAGACGCTTGAGTCGCTCAATCTCTGCCTGGTACTCTTTCAGTTTGGCATCCTGCGGATCTTCGTTCTTAATGGGCTGATTTTGTATGTTCTTGGCGCGCTGAGCATACCGCAGCGTCGTCAACGTCTCGTTGTAGTTATAGTTCGAGGGTCCAATGTTGGCAATCATGATGGTCTTGGAGTTGCCGCCCAGCGAGTCCTGCAGCAATCGCGTCAGCTTCGAATCACGGTACGGCACATGGGGCGAATTCTCAGCCAGTGCGGAGATCACATTGCCCAGCGAGGAGAGCGCCAAATTGATTTTGCTGGCCTCCTTGAGGCGTTCCGCCGATGCGCCCGTCTTTGACTGGCGCTCACTACCGGCCAAATCAATGAGATTCAGTTTTCCCACCTTAATCGTGTTCGTCTCCGTGTCGCACATCTCAATCTTGATCATGAATATGGCATGCGAGCTGCAAAGTAACAGTTTAATCATTAATCAACCGTCTGCAGCTTTATCTCAAGACTTACCGCGAGCTGTGCTCGTTCATGTTGGTGAAGCCCACGGTGCGATTCTTGTTGCCCACCTTCATGACGTTCGTCATGTCGTCGACGCTCTTGCAGTTGATGGCATGCAGATTGGGCACATAGACGCCGGAGCCGCGTTCACGCACCTCTAGGTGCTTGGAGTTGGGTTTTAGCAAATCGCGCAGTTCCTCCATGTAGATCTCCAGATAAGAGACGTCCACCAAGAACTGAAAGTTCTCGGTGCGATTGATGTGCAGCCAGATTTGCTCAAAGGTGCGCGGAATAATGCCCATCAGATCATCATTGTTCCGCACTCCCTCCATCGTAAACGTTTTGCCCGTGCCCGTTTGGCCATATGCAAAGATGCAGCCATTAAAACCTTCCAACACGGAGCTGACCAGCGGGAATACAACCTCGTGGTACAGAGTTGTCTGTGTTGCAGCCGCATCATATGCCGCATCATAGGTGAACACCTTGCGCTGCTCCTTATTGACATCCACCAGATTCTGTAGCTCCACCACACCGCGATTCGGATATACATTGACCACTTCCGGTGAGCCCTCAGTGCGCTCCCGATTGCTCAGCGGACGGCATCGCACGACCACCTGAACGCACTCGTTCGGCGTTTGGCTATTCGCGGTGCCAGGGCGTTTGCTCTTCGCACTCATTTTGCTGTTGGTGCTGCTGCTGAAGCTGTTTTGGAGACGGTGACTAAAGCAGCCTTGCCTTTGTGCCCCCTTTTCACCCCGCGCTCAGTGGCCGTTTTTGTCTGGGGCTGTAGCTGTGACGACAAACAAATGTCAAATAAAATCAATAATTTGACAGTGGCACAAATTTTGGCTGCATTTTCTGCCGTTTTTATGTTATCATTTCTTCTGACAAATGACGTCACTTTATTCGCCAAATTTTTCGCACCATTTGGAGTTTAACGCTTTACAATAATTACCTGTATTTTTAAAAGCCAAATTACTTCACCTTGAGTTCGTTTTTTTTATTGTTCAGCTGCTACCGCTAGCAAGGTTATCGATAGTAATTCGATAGTTCCTTGAGCATTTGCTAATCAAAAAATACCATTTTACTAATCGAAAATACTTCAAGCGATAAATCAAAATGTATCGGCATTTGCGACATACGCGCACAACTTAAAATTCTATTTAGTAAAACCACTCAAATTCCTATCGACGTGCACAACAGACTACGCCATGCACAATCCTTTTCGCGTGCTATGTAAAAATTACAATAGATTGCATCACGTTTTCTCTACCGAACTTTCTCTACCCCTCATAAAATCGTTGCTTTCAGGATACTTTCGGGAAGTCACTGACCCATTCCCAGCTATGAGCAGGGGCATAGCTTGCCGGACAGGCTGTATATTTCCCCCACCGGGTCGGTGATTTCCCATTACTTTCAAAATACTATCTCTTTATCCTATCTACTTAACACTCTGTATATCTAGCATACAATTCTTTACTTTATTAACAATCTTCTTACTTTCTTTTCTCCCATTTATGGTGTTTTCTTAAATAATATAGCAAATTAAGATTATTTTTAATTTTACTTAAGAACACCTTTTCCTACTTACACCCTTCTTCTTAGATGTAGGCTCTAATAGCGTCACTGACAAAATTAGCTGTGAAAAGGGGCACAGCTGGCCGGACTGGCAAATAAAACACCTCCATCGGTCGGTGATGCTATTAGAAATTTGTGTTCTTTAACTAGCATTTAATTTTCATAATTGTATATATAATGTATTGAATAATTAGGAAGACACTCGTTAGTCGACCCCTAATAAATAAATAAATAAATAAAAAATAAATAAATAATTAATGTGTTTATTTCGTTTTACATTTTACCTAGAGGATTTTGACTTATGTGTAGATTTACTATGATCTGTTGCGCCTCGCTTGCGTTTATTAAGCGGATTACGCGGATCGTAAACATCGTACCAGTCATCACCTTTGGTAGATGCATCTTTGGCGAGCACAGGCACATTGCTGTTGAAATTTAACGTGTGCGCCAACCAATCGTCCCCAGTGATTTCTTTTTCCACAACACTGTCGTCCATTTGCTTAGGCTCCTCATCGACATCCTCAGTATTCGATTTATATTTGAATTTGTCCAATTTAGATTTGAACTTGGATAACAAGGCCAAAGTAAATTCCTCCCTGATATTAAAAATAAAACTATTTAAACATCGATTATAAATTTCATAACTAGGCACGCACCTTCCTTTTCCTTTAACAGTGTCTTTTGTCTTGGCAGTATACATTTCTTTTACTTGAATGAAATCTTTAATATAATGATTTTCGCTGGCTCCCTTTATGGCATCCTTCTTTGAATTCTTTTCGGACTCCTTGGAAAGTTGTTTCTCCTTGCTGACTTTATCCATTTGATATTGCCGCTTCAATGAAGCAATTTCTTCACGTATTTTGGACCTAGAAAACATCAAGAATAAAGCCCAATACAAACAACATAGCGACGGTTGTGTATATACTTTTCTTTGGAGATTTTCTGGTTTTGTTCTTGCTCCTGGGTCATCAGAATGTCCTCATCGTCATCCTCTGATTCACTTTTGATCTCTTCACGTTTGACCGGCTTTGCCGATGTGGATTTAGTTGCTCTGTTGAGTTTACTCTTTATAATATCCGAGCACGTGGCGGCTATTTTAGTGACAGTCTCTTCGCAGTCATCTGATAAATTTTCCTCGCTGGGCGCTCGCTCTGTTTTGGGCACCTTAATGGGTTCCTTGCTTAGCTTTGGGTCATCCGTGGCATCATGTAGGGATTTTGCTTTGCCAGCATTTTGCTTCACAAATATGCTCGTCTCCTGTTCGTCACCTTCGGCCTCTTCTCCGAAAGAAAGTAGTCCAAAGTTTCTAAAGAAAACTCCAGAGTGAAAGCCGCAATATTTAGGGAAATGTAACACTTACTTTACGCCTTGTTTTTCTTTTTTGGTTTTCTTCGATTTTGAGTCTGCTTTGGGCAAGGAGCGCGGCACAATATCGTTAAAGGGATTGCTAAGCACTTCTGTGGAAATGATGCGATGTGCGTACATGGGTCGCTCCTGGTGATCGACGATGCCCTCCTCCAGCTTGAGCATATTGAATACTGTATCGCCCGTGATTTTGCCAAAGAGTGTGTTTTTGTTTTCCAGCTCTGGCGTCGGCGCAAACGTGAAGAAAAATTGTGAGGCGTTGTCATCCTTGCCAGAGTTCGCCATGCCCACCAGGCCGCGACGAGAGTATCGCAATCGTGAATGGAATTCATCCTTAAACGGATGGCCATAAATCGATTCGCCGCCAGAGCCATCGCCGTTCGGATCTCCGCCCTGCACAATGAATCCCTTGACCAGCCGGTGAAAAGTTGTGCCATTGTAATAGCCCTCCAGACAGAGTTGGACAAAGTTGCGACACGCCTTTGGGCACTCTCTGGCCCACAGTTCTATGTCAATATCACCAACTGTTGTTTTCAACAAAACTTTGCCAGATGTTGGCGGCTCCTGGATGTAAATATTGCTCATTTTCAAGGAAATAAACAATTCAGACCAAAGCTCTATACTTCAGCGTCGTTAGGCTGATGGTTGGCAACGCGTTTGAAGAATGTCAGGGCTGTTTGTGCCTACAGCTGTTTAAATTCGTAAAATATATCGATGTTTTAATATCGATATATAAGATTTTACCATAAAAATCAATAAATCTACCTGTTGCACTAATTTAAAGTGCGTACACACTTTCAAAGCATAATGTGCCAAAAAATACCAATGTTCGTTACTAAGCAACGGTTTCTTTTTATATTGTGTCGTCTTTGGCTTTCCTTTCATTTTCAAAAATTATAAAAGCTACCAAAGAAAGTTTCTAGAACTCGTAATGAATTTTAGCGACGACCCACTGGCTGATTTACTCAGTGATAATAGTTTGGACAATGACAACTTCTTCGACGCGCCACCCGGCGCCAATGCAAAAAAACTGCCAAAATCCAGCAAAGCCAAGAATAAACTGGAGGATCTCTTTGGCATAAAAGAGGAAACGGAACCGGACGCCCAAAATTCCACTGCAGCAAAACAACTTAATGTCAAACCGTCTGCTTCGAGCACACCGCGCATTGTCAAACAGAAGCCCACGCTATCGATGGACGATGCCGACGATGATGACTTAGGATTTGATCCCAAGCGGCCAAAGAGCGGCGGTGGGGCCAGGAAAAACCTATTTGACGATTTGCTCGGGGCGGCAGAGCCTAAAAGAAACATTTTTGATGAAATTTTAAGCAGCAACGAGTCCGCAACTAAACGTCCCGCTACTGCAAAACCTTCAATGTCCCGCCAGTCAACGGATACAACGACGGACAACTCCAACGTGCACTCACAGGCGCGCCATAAAACCGCAGCGGGCGCGGGTAGGCGCAGCTCAGCCTCTGTCCAATCCGCTAATCTCAACGCAGATCCTTTGGGTCTATTTGGCAGAGAGAAGGAGACAAATGCTACCGTTTCGGGTATGTCAACGCCCGTGTCGAAGAAACGCGGCACGGCTGACTGGCTAGGCTTGGCTGCAACGCCTGCGGCTGCCGAGGAGGAGCTGGAACGTGCCGCCTCGCCACCAACGCCCAAGTTAACCAAAGAGATCGCACCACCGCCAAAGAATACCGCTGACATACTGCGCATTCCCGACTCGGACGAGGCGGAGCACGAGCCGCAACAGCATCCAAGCACTCGGCCGACTGTGGACAGCACAACGCAAAAAATTCTATTACTAAACAGCCTAAACTTGGAGAGCAACCACAGCTACAATGCTCTGCAACAGCAGGAGACACAGCTGACGATTGCTGCCCAAATGAAGAGCCAGGAGCGCGCACTGCTCGAAATGCAGCTGAAGCAGGAGACGCAGGATCGCAAGTTTGATGAGCTGCTGCAGCAGCAACTGCAGCGCCAGCAGCAAATGGAGGAGCACATCAAAGCGCAGCAGGAACGCATCAATATGCACCTGCAGTTGATGATGAGTCAACCCGTCTTAGTGCGTGCTGAACGCCCAGACACTCTACCAGCTGCTGCTGAAATCGAAACAAGAATCCCATCTGATTCCGTGCCAGCCAAAGATGACGGCAAGGAACAGCTGCTGCAACTGGAAACAGATGTCAAGCGTAATTCGCTCGAAAAACAGCGACTGGAGGAGCTGGTCGCCAACATGAGAGTCAACTACGAGCAGGAAATCGAAATGATCGAGAGCTCCTACAAGTAAGTGGCTCAATACCAATTTCATACAGATCTCAAACTGCTTCCATTTCAGAAAACAGCTGAAGGTATTGGAGCAGCACTTGGCTGCTGTGGAGCAGCGCTTGAAGCTGGAGAATACCGAAATTACAGATTACTACACCGGCAAGTTGGATAAACTCAAAGGCGACTATGATCTGCAGATCTCCAATTTGAAGCAGGATCACGAGGACGATTTGCGCATGCTCCGCAGCTCGCATGAGGCGGACATGGAGCGCATAAGGCAAGCCAAAATTCTGGAGCAGGCTGCTGTGCAGGATCATGGCAGCTATTTGGAGACGCTGCGCATGGCATCCAGCGATTTGCAAGAGCTGCGCGAGGGCCTGACCACGACCAAGGAGCGCGAGCAACAATTGGAATTCCGTGAACGTCGCCTGGCTGACGCGGAACGCCGTTTAAGGATCGACGAGGAGGGCGCCGAGCAAGAGAAGCGTCGTCTCATGGAGCTAGTGAGCACACTGGAGTTGCAGCTGGAACGCCTGTCCAAGGACACGGCCGAGGAGAATTGGCAGCTGCGTCAGCGCATGGCCAGCATTGAATCTGAAAAGAAGGCATTCGAGCGGGAGAAGCAGTTCCATCGCGAGCAAATGGAGCGCGACGAGAAGCGAATCGAGGAGCTGAAAAATCTGCAGCTGGCCGAGGTTGAGCGCCTGCAACTGGATATGCAGCAGGAGCGCACGCGCCTCCTAGTTGAGCAGCAGAAACTGGAGATGCAGCATAAACTGCACGAGCAGGGCGACTTGAATGCTGAGCGTCTGGAGCTGGAGGCGCAGCTACAGGTTGCACGAGATGCGATTAAGCGAGCGGATGAACAGCAGGATCGGTGTAACAAGCAGCAGC